ATTATGTTTACTATGATCATCATCTTAGTTTTGCATGTTAGCATGCTTGAATTTGCTAATTAGCAGAAAAGTGGGGCTGAGGCTAATGGAATTAACATTATTCGTGCATGTATTTAGTCATAAACCAAAGTTTAGGACAAATTTGGCTCTCATGGTTGCGCTAGATGAAAAGTCAGCGAATCAAATTTCAAGGCAAACCACAACCACAACCGGCATTGTCGTCCCTAGCAGCTAGCAGGGCTAGATGGCAGTAGATGTGTGCGAATCTCCAGCATTCCTTTTATTCCAAGCGCTTTGTCGTGCATGATGTATCAGGCCACTAGCATGAAATATGCATGGCAGCAACGTGTTACTCTGTGTCACTGAATGCAGCTTATTACATCACTTGTCATCTCTTATTGACTATCCTTCCATGTCTGCAGAGGTGACTTCAAAGAGAAAGCAGACATCAACTTAAATCATAAACACTGCTATTGCACTGTCCGGTCACGTCCAGCGCTTATGTACCTTTTTTCATGCCCTCAGATGGTGTGTGTATGTGCATGTGTTTCACAAAGCACAAGGAATAGATGACCAACCAATAACCCCCCCCCCCCCTTTTGAAAGGCAGTCCCATTACACTCAAAGGGCAGAACGGTCATCATAATGAAGCTGATAGAAGAGCAATCTCTAAACCCCCCACACTGCAGTGCCGAGTCCAAAAAACAGCAGTTAAGACCTTGATGGTATCTATGCCACTGTGAAATAGATGTAGCCCCCTGTAATTCTGTATAGCTGGATTATGCTTCTACATGCATTGACAAACACAAAAAGAGGATTACCTCATCTTCATCGTCTCCCACTCTCACCTCACTATTTGACATGAATCCTGTACCAAATAAACACGCGTCTGGTGCTGAGGGGGGGGGGGGCATGATGTGTCCTAAAATTAGATCAGTGAAGGACTGAACACCATACTAATCCCGCCATCACAGTCACCTGCACACTCACTACATTCCTGCATGCATGCCAATAAAAAAGATAGAAACTGAAATCAGGGCAAATAGGGAAAAAAATCATTCAACAGAGCTCGGAGCAAATCCAATATCTCTCTTATCTCTCGATCCCTTCCCACACATCTACAACTCCTGTTTTGGGTGATTTGAACATGAGAGGAATGCGAGCATGCCCTCTCCTCTTCTGTCATGTTTTCTGTGGGAAACATATGGTTTGCCTGGTTCTTTTTCTGCATAGCATGAGAGGCTCGGCCGCTCTGCCAGGTGGAGAAGCTCTGTTCAGTTGCGGGGTAAGGCTGTGATTGGATCTTCATTTGAGCCTAGAATAGGTATTGCTGTGATTAAGCTGTGATTCTCCAGCGAAAATGTGATCTCTTTGCATGTTTTACACAACTTGGACGCTCCAACATCTTTTTTTTTCAAGGTTTGTGTTTATTTAGACTTCACAAGTAGACTAGCTACAAACAGCTTTATGCTCATATGATTTCCTGTGAGTGAGCTTTTATTTCTCAGTGACGTGATTTGTGGATTGCCAGGTCAAGCATTTGGATCTATTTAATTTTCTGCTCCTGCACACAGTAGTAGAGATGGAAATTCCTAATGTAGCACAATTTCGGAGTGATCTCATCTCCCTTTGGCTCTTCATATCCCTGACAGCAGCTGGCTTAGTTTTGCCTCAGCACTTTGATAGATTCAAGACAAGCCACTGAGGCATAGGGTCAAATCCCTGCAGTTTAGAGGGATGTGACCAGAAAGCGTTATTATGCACTTTGCAAGTTCATCTCTGTGCATACGTATTATACTAGTGACTTAGAAATCAATAGCATATTGTTATCAAGACAGTCATAAACTTGGCAGAGTCAAAGAGGTCAATAAAAGGCCAGTTGCATGTGATTAAAGCTTGTAAATCAATAATTGCATCAACTTTTCAATACATTTTGGCTGGACATGAATAAAGAAAGTGTGTGTATGTTTCTACTTGCCTCTAATATCACAGTGGTTAGTTTGTATTTCCAGAGTCTTCAGAGGAGAACAGTGGTCGAGAATGAATAATGAATGCTGTGATGTGCTCTGTTCTCTGCTGCTTTGAACTAATGAAGCTTGATAAAGTACCATACAAAGCAGCCGTCCTATTTGTGCTGGTATCACCCTATTATTGCTGGCAGTGAAGGACTGTAGCAGTTTGCATTTGACTCATGAGTAAATATTGATTGATCTGCTTGTAAAAGGATACATGAGCGCTATGTGTAAATATTTATTCAGGCAATGCCAACATCTGCACGTTAACAGTTATCTAAGCAGATAGTCTCTTGCGCAGTGGAAAAAGAAGAAAAAAATCAGAGATCATAATCTTCTGTCTTGCAGCTTGTTTTCTCAGTCGTTCGTTATTCAAAAAACAGCCACAATTGGTGGTTAAAAGCCTTTCTGTGTCTGTGAGAAGGAATCTGGGTCCCTGTATCTCTAAAACATCCAGGTCTGAATATAATCTTGGCCCCAACTCCTCTCTCCCCACCCCCTGAGAGCCCTCAAAACATAATGTCCCTGTCAGATGGAATTAAAGTCCTTCCCAGCACCACGTTATGTACATAGGGAGAGCACAGAGTGATGCGCTTATGCAACACTTAGCATATTAGCCTTGTGATTGAATCATCCTTGGAGGGTGACATGCCCCCACCTTGTCCTAACTCCGCCTTCCTTCCTGTAATGAGGATGATTTAGGCAGCTGATGTGACCAGTTGGCCTGACCTCCTTTTACCCTCTGGTGATGCTGCGGGCCGAGTGGTGTGTGGTAGTCACCGATACAGCTCATAACAGGCATCGCTGATGCCGTTTAGAGCCGTGCTGGTCTGAGGGCGGAGGTGGAGAGAGGAGAGGCTGCCAGCGTGATCGCCTGCTGAGCTGCAGATAACTGCAAAACTAATTTCCTCAACTCCCACCATTTCACAGTGCATGATGGGAGATTGTATCTGATAGTATAGGGGCACCATATAAGCCTCTGCATTGGCCACGTCCATCAGGGCCTCTAAGTGCTTCATTCTGCTAAAATAAACAAGACTTCTACAATCATGCTAGCGTCTCTGCGAGGCTGTACTTGGTATTTTAAACTTAATGGTCACATCAGCAAGATAACATGCTCACAAAGATAATGCTAGCATATTCATGTTAAGTAGGTATAATGTGTAACATGTTCACCATCTCAGTGGATACAAGTTAAAGAACAGACAAAGCAATAACATACAGAGGTAAAATATGACCGCAGCTACTTGATGCACCTCTTGGTAAGGCATATCTGAAATGTCCTCTGCATTTGCTCATTTTGACATTGAAAATTGAATAAAAGGAATAATCTCATTGATTTGAGTATGCAAATTCTGCACACCATCTCTCTATTTTGTCTTTAGTTGAGTGCAATGTTTTTTTCCTACTTCACTAATTAGCAGTAAATGCAAAGTAAAGTTGAGGCTGACGGCAATGTCAATAGTTTTGCAGGTATATGGCCACAAACCAAAACAAACAAACAAACTGGACAAATTAAAATGTGACCTGATGATGGCGTTAGATAAAGGCTTATAGGATCGAAATTATAACAATTCATCCTCTGGGGATCATGACTGTCTGCACCAGATTTCATTGGTGGTCATTGTTGCGGTACTTCACTCAAAAAACTGGTGCTGGTAGCAATAGAGGAAAATGCAGAGGATCATCATTAAAATATATCCTTTAACGACCATGAACATTTGTAGCATATATCACGGTAATCCATCTAATAACTTTCAAGATATTTAAGTTTGGACCAAAGTGATGAGTCCACTAACAAACTGACCAACATTGCAATCCCTTGCTGCTGGCACGCCTGAAAAAGCAAAACTGTGCTCACAGCCATAGCCCTATTTGCTCAATGGGTGACTTTATAGAGGCAGTAAATGTATGCCATTCTCCAACATTCCTTATTGCAAGTGCTTTGTCGCGCATGATGTATCAGACCACTAGCATGAAATATGCATTGCAGCAATATGTTATTCCACGTCACTGAATGCAGCTCATTACATCATGCATCAACATCTTGTTGTCTCCCCTCACGTCTTGTGGTGGAAAGATCGACAGACTGACCAACAAACCTGCATTGCCATCCCAAGAGCGATGCTGGTAACACGGCTTGCCAGAACATCCTCCATACCGTTAGCTTCATGACACAGTATTAATACTAATCATGAGACTTAAATTTGAGTGATTATCTCCCAGCACAGCTGTGCAGCTGAGGAAATGAGATGTATGAAATGTATTTAATTATTTCCCTTCACTTGAATGGAAAATAAAGCACATACAGTTAACCCAAGTTAGTGGCTCGCCAAACACAGGACCAACCATCCAAGGATTAAGTGGTTACCCTCCCTGCAATCAAGGGCACACACGCTACTAATTAGGACGGGATATAAAAGGGTAAAGGGTTTATGAAGGATAGCCTGCCATAGTATATTTGTGTTTGCATATGTGTGTGTGTGTGCATGAGCGTGTGTGTGCTTGTCCTGCTAATGCACTGAAAGCCTGTGGGCGCTGGCCAGCCTGGCCGCGTGCTCATCAGTAAAATGGCACAGAGAATGAATAAGCCTTAATTGACCAGATATCCTTCATTACACATGTGCTTACAAATCCATCCACTCTCCTTGGAGCCATTCTCAGAGGCACAAGCTCATGACAGCCAGCAAAGCATGGGACATACACATCCCAGACATGGAACAGCTTTTAGATAAGTCATTTGAAATTTTTTCTCCGTCCCTGTTGTCAGTATTTATTTGAATACACCTGGTCAAACTGTAGATAGTAAAGAAGAGTGGTCCGTCAGTGGCAACATTTTTTTTGATTACTTTTTCAAAAGTCAAGATTACAGTAACTTGGACATGTGCTGTGTCTGTGTAATGTGGAGTGCAGTTTATTAAAAGATGAATATTTTTCTCTGCAGGGACATTTTGAAGCGGGCAGGCTGTTGCCCTCGTGGACCTGAGGATGTTTCGCAAGAAGAAAAAGAAGAGGCCTGAGATATCAGCGCCCAAGAACTTTGAACATCGTGTCCACACCTCATTTGATGCCAAGCACGGCTGCTTTGTGGGCCTGCCGACCCAATGGCAAAGTCTGATAGAGAACCTGCGCAGGCCCAAACCCATGGTAGACCCTTCCAGGATCACAGAGGTGGAACTGAGGCCAAAGAAGGTACACCACACCTTCTGTTCAACTCGTCATTGATCTTCTGACCTTACCTTAAACTGATCAATAATAACTGGCACACCATTCAACTAGGCTGTCATTAATCTCTCACGATAATTTGCCATTCTAAAATATCTTTTTAATCAATGAGAGACTCATGCATAAAGATATGTTGCTGGTTGTATTGATGCAGAGTCCTTCAGTGCTGCAGAGGGATCCTGCTGTCTCAGAAAATGCCATAATCCTCTGATGACAACGTGGAAGGAAGGCCGGCTCTCCTCCCTATCTTTTTGCTTTCTTATCTATCGTGGGGCTGAGCTAATGACCCTGCTGTGCACACTGACTGTACAATGTTGAATGCTCAGAGGGGCCACAAGATTTATTACTCCATGCAGGCAATTAATAACAGCCCATGGTGCCTTCTCACAGATGTCAAGCAGAAGGGATAAAAAGTGCAGGTACAGCAAAGGAAATGCCAGTGAATGATAAAGGCTGCAAATCTAAAGATTTCTATGCTTCACGGAGCATACTGTCGATGCTGTTTGTGCCCCCCCAGAAAAAAATGGTTAAAACACCAACATTTCATCAATGCCCTGATGTGATTAGTGCTGATCAATATCAGAACCGTCATGTCAGCATTTAGGTCAGATTTATGGTTTTAATAGCATCATCAAGATGAGTGTGAAGAACAAGAACCACATACTGCAAAAATACTAAACATATAGGTGAAAATAAAGTACATTTTAGATTGTTGCTCTCACTGAAAAGATGATGTGATGCGACATCTGAATTTTTTCTTCTAGAATAGGATTTCTCACCAAGGCCATTATCACCTGCCATTCCCTCCTCTGAGAGGTGCTACTGTAGGTGAGATGTCATCTGACCTCTACCCCCAGTGCAGATGTAATGGCACAGACCTAGAGAAACAGGAGAGGCTGTTGACTGGCTGTGAACTGAACATGACTCTACCCCGAGAGTGACTAATGAGCCCCCATGCACTCTTTCTTACAGTTGCAACAGTAACACTAATCTGGCAAAAGAACTTAAGTTTGTCTGATCATTTTCTGTCAGCTGTCAAGTATAGGCCAATTGCATGCCTGCTAACTATGCATACCATGTGGTCATAGGAACAGTTCTCTGTAATATCTGAACTGTGTAATGTAAGAACAATTGTAGAGGCTCTGTCTTTTTATCGTGTCTCTTGAAACATTTGTCAGTGTATCGTCAGAATTATCCACTGGGAAAATAATTTATGTCACTGTCTTTGAAGAATGAGATGTCCTTTACAGATTCTCAAGTCTAAGTTTAACTTGCCTCTGAGCAATGATTTTGTCACCCTCACTATTCCTTCCAGTCTGAAATCTTTCTATAATGTGATCATGGCATGCACAATGTGATAAAGATAAACGCCTCTCTTCTTTCAGACCATTGTGCGAGGGAGCATGATCGGTCACGGAGACTACATCGCAGCCATGATCAATGATATGAGCCGTCTGTCTGTGACCAGTTCCAACTCTTTGAGGAAGAGCAGTCCCTCAGCCAGGAAGAGGGCACAGTCTCTGGGAAGGCTGGGGGAAGTGAATGAGGGAGACCCTTACCAGTATGAGGGCCTGACCCAAGATGATGAAGACGACGAGGATGCGGTTCAAGACCAGTGGAGGGACAAGGCCAGGAACATCCACAGTGAGACCAACACCCCATACTTGGGCATGAAGAAGAGCATCACTCTGCAGCCCAATGGGATCTTGCCAAAGGCCAAGTCCACCTATGAAGTCAGCGTCAGTTCCTTGGAGGGACCCTCGCAACCAGCTCACTCTCAGAACATCCCAATGCTAAGTCACGGGGCTTATATGAGCAGTGAGGTTGGCAGCCCTCAGGAGAGAGTGATATGGAAGAGAGATTTCCAGCTGCCTAGGGGAATGCCTCCAAGCCAGAGACCTATAGCTTGTTTTTACAGCCCAGCTATGACTGTACAGCCGCCCCATGGAGATCAAGCGGCAGTCACCACGGAGCTCCGGCCCAACCTACCAATGTACATGCACCCACAGAACAGCCCCGGGAGGCCGTTCTCCTCCTATGACCTGAAAGTAAGCCTGACATTACAGCAGATTTTTGCACATCTTTGTGGCCATTAAGTGCACTGTTAATACATTATTCACAGAATACACAATATATGCATATTTCTGCTAATGTTATGTACATCATAATTTAGTATTCAGCATGTTTTTGCATGTACTCTGAATCCATTAAATACAAATTTTTGTCATGAAATCTTAGGGGTTCGTTTTCATGCTTGGGTTGTCGAAACCTTAGCGAGGCATGATATTGATTACATCTAAACTTAAGGTGATTAAAATTCTGGGGCTGAGAATTTTATTTAATTTAAGAGTTAAAATATGAAATGTGGGTTTAAAGTGCCAGTGGGGTTGTAAATGTTGAGCGATGGTGTGTTTGGCAAGATCTCAGCGGGCCACTTGGGTCCATGTAGCAACATCTATACATGGGTCATATCAGGTAAAGTGGATACAGAGTAAGAGTAAACTCTCTTAAAGTTCCTCACCCTTTTTCTCTCATTGTGCAGGCAGAGTCTGTAGTGAGGTACCACTCCAGCTTCCTGCCCACTGGCAACAGCAGTCCTCTTGTGGGCGGCATCAGACCCCAGCGTACTGTGCGTTCCTCAGCTAGCTACACGCTGGGTCTGTCTCCTAACATGGGACTGAGGCCCAGTGGGCCTGACCCCTTCTTCAGACACTCTGGATGCCCCAATCCTCCCTACCCCCGGCAAGACAGCCCTTCCCAGCCTCGACCCTCCCCTACAGGCTCACTAGCCACCAGTCCTCCTGGCACATGCTCCCCTGCCTTCAGACCACCACAACATCCTTCACCCAGACCACCACCAGACCCACCCAAAGTGACCCATGAACAGTTCAAAGCGGCCCTACAGATGGTGGTAGACAAGGGTGATCCGCGGTCTTACCTGGAGAACTTTGTGAAGATTGGGGAGGGGTCGACGGGGGTGGTGTGTATCGCTACAGAGAAGCACAGTGGCAAGCAGGTAGCGGTGAAGATGATGGACTTGAGGCGGCAGCAGAGAAGAGAGTTGCTCTTTAACGAGGTACAGTATCCAGCTAAGTGATTCCCACAAACAAACACAAGACAAATCACAAACACACAATGGATTCAAGGTTACAGCTACAAATTTATTGCTTGCTATTCTTTGTGGTCTAGCATTTAAAGATGGAAAGATAGAATGGAAAACTGTATTTACCTTATCATAGTAAAAAGAGTTCAGTCCATGAAACTGACATACCGTGAGCATCAGTCACCACTGTTTCCTCCTTCGTATGTAAATCTCGCTCATGCACAAGACCCTGGAAAAACGGGCGAATGCCAACAAGTGCTAGATGTGACGTAACATCTGGCATCATTAATATTCACTCCCCCAACATTTACATAAACCAGCCCACGTTCTAGAGAAGCGGTCATACGAGTTCATGGACCTAGAGCTGAAGGTTGTTCAGTATATCTCACAGAAAGTGCTTTTATGGTTATGAAGGAATGATAAATATTTTCTGGTTTACCCTCTGAGGTCCTCTTGCTGTTCTGCCTCAACTCTGTGATTATGAAGTTTCCCGATGGACTTTACTTGTTGCTAACACTACCACTAGCTGCTGCTGATGGTTTTGGTTGTATTGTTATCATCTCACTCTGAACCAGCGGTCCAAAATTTCTGTTAGAATGTTAGAGGTGTAAACACCAACACACCCTTGGAGCACCAAGCTTCCAGTCCAGGCAGAATCAGCAATAGGACGGCTAGCTGCACAGCCAACTGAGTTGCTAGCAGCTACACTGCTGATAGCAGTAATTATCAGGTAAAGTAACAACAAACACTCTGTGAATCACCAAAAGTGGAGGCAGAGCAGCTGGAGGACATCAGAGGGAAATCCAGAAAATATTTTCTCCGTCAAATCTGATCCAGTTTCACCAAAACCAGCAAAAAAAGTTATAAAGTTGTGTTTTCGTACAGTAATTAATGACACCTAGTCTCGCATAGGAGGCCTTGATTCAGTCCAGTACAGCTAGGTCCCGTCCCACTGCTGTGCTCAGGGAAGTTGGCCAATCAGAAGCAAGTGGGCTTTCAGAGAGGGGGTCCTTAAAGAGACAGGAGCTAAAACGGAGTGTTCAGACAGAGGGTGAAAAGAGAAGCTGGAGCAATGGACGTTATGAGAAAAATAATGTGTTTTTTGAAAATTAAAGCATGCAAACATTTTCTGGTAGAAACTCTAAATACAAGGATGGACTTCAAAACAAGCATTCTACGGCACCTTTAAAGCATATTTCCAGTTTATTTCGACCTGAATGATCATGAATATGTCATTGGGAGTACTACTCAGCCTGTAAAACGGTTGTATTATGTCCTCTTTGGCTATGGAGGGAGCTTTCTAAAGTCTGAGAAATTAACCCCCGATGATGTCATCAGGGGTTAATTGGCTTAAGTGTGGGTGTTTACCAGTCAGGATTTCTAATCAAAGACACTATTGACTTGGGTATGAAGAGACTGTTTCATGCTAAAGAGTCCTTACCTCTACAGCCCCGATTTTCACCATTCTTCTTTTACAAGTCCCCTAACTTTATGAAAGTGGTTGAGTACAAAATTGCTTAAGTACCCCTTTGATATTAGAGAACCAAATGTGTGGTCACATTATTAGCAATATCTCTAAAGATTTTGGTTCTAACAGGTATGTTTTGTGTGCAGGTGGTCATCATGAGGGACTATCAGCACAGGAATGTGGTGGAGATGTTTAAATCAGCCCTGGTAGAGGAGGAGCTGTGGGTTATCATGGAGTACTTGCAGGGTGGAGCACTGACCAACATTGTGTCTGAAACCAGGTAAGAGCACCACCAAGAGATCGTCTTGACCCGTCTTAAGAAAGCTGCATTGGTGCATTCTGTTTGGTTATGATATCATCTTTAATAACTAAATCAACCACAAGGGGGTAGTGTGGTATCGACTGGTGAGTGATCAGTCTTGAGACCAGCATCACAAAAACTTACAAAGACGGTCATTCAGCACTCTCTCCCACTCCAAGCCAGCTGCTTTTCTCTGGGGAAAGTTAATAATTCAATAACATAATCAAATATGTGTATGTTTAGATGCCATGTGGAAAGTCATTTTAGTTGAAAATTAGTTTTCCTGATGCTGTCACGTTGTCTAGTAGCGCATACATCAAAAACAAGGAAAACACTATTTGTAACTATTTTGAACTGTCACTGTTTGCCATGGCATGACCTCAGGGTGAGATCACTTATAAAAATTTCTCTCAAGCCAGATGACATGTAAAATGAGCCAGATGTCACAGCTACTGTTTGTCAGACACTAAAATAATCAGTATATTGACAGAACAATCAAGAATAAGAGTCCTTGGCTTCTTCTGTTTTTCCTAGCTACAGTCTGGTGTCATATAATTTTTAGACTCATTAAAGTATCCATAAATTAAGAAGCAGAATAACTGCCTATTTTTCCCCTAATATAGTTTTAGATATGTCTTTTAAATATATTGAGAATCATGTGGGAGAATACAGCGCTTTGTTAGGTAATTGTTACTATGTGTTACATTCGTTTTCAGTTAGCTCCTGACCTTGCTTGCTGTTTTAAAATGGCTTTTTGTCTTTTGTCTCTGTCTCTTATGTTTATGTACATTGTAGAGGACTGAACATGTTTTGTGGGTCTTTCTGCTGTGTGGGAGTTGTTGTTCTGAACCTTGCACTCTTTATCATTGCCTTTAATGTTTGATGATGAATGATGAATTCTAACTTTCGCAGCTGGTGATTCGTCATACATCGTAATGGAAAAGTGTGAAATGTTAATATAAAATCTGTTTGTGTGTGTGTGTGTGTGTGTGTGTGTGTGTGTGTGTGTAAACCATGGTGTAAACATGTGTGTGTGTGTGTGTTTGTGTGTGTGTGTGTAAACCATGGTGTAAACATGTGTGCTTGTGTGTGTGTGTGTGTGTGTGTGTGTGTTATCCTGCAGGCTGAGTGAAGAGCAGATTGCCACAGTGTGTGAAGCTGTTCTGCAAGCCCTGGCCTATCTCCATTCACAGGGAGTCATTCACAGAGACATCAAGAGTGACTCTATACTACTAACATTAGACGGAAGGGTATGAGATGGTGTTGCTCTTTCTTTCTTTCTGTTTTTCTTTGTTTTGCTATCTTGATACTAAGGTATTTCTCTTGTACCCCCAGGTCAAGCTTTCAGACTTTGGCTTCTGTGCTCAGATCAGCAAGGATATCCCTAAGAGGAAGTCTCTAGTGGGGACACCCTATTGGATGGCTCCTGAGGTCATCTCCAAATCACCATATGGCACTGAGGTGAGGAGGCACACATTCAAATCCACTCACACTGAATAGCAGTGGTGATTTGTCTCGTGCAGTATGAATGCCTAAGGTGGAAGATCTGTTTCCTAATTTATCTCTGTATTGGTGCACCAGGTGGATGTTTGGTCAATGGGTATCATGGTGGTGGAGATGGTGGATGGAGAGCCCCCGTACTTCAGTGAAACCCCTGTAGCAGCGATGAAGAGACTGAGGGATGAGCTGGCTCCAACTGTACGAAATGTCAGCCAGGTACGAGAACAGACACACATACTCACATACACTCGTAACTTTCTTAAAACATGCTGTGTATAGCATTTGCAGTGACGTGGCTCTAGAGATGGTAATGTATGTGTCATGTGTCTTGAATAAATATCTCTGAATGATTATCATGACATTTGGTAAAGACAATGTTTTACTTTGTCCAATACTTTGGATTATGACTAAATACCTGCAAAAATAATGAAATTCTCATCAGTCTCAACTGTACTTTGGGTTTAGTGCTAATAAGTAAACATTAGCATGCCAATACGCCAAACTACGATTGTGAACATGGTAACTAATGCACTTGCTAAACATTATCATGATACAATAGCAGCAATATCTGATACAACCGTCACATTTTCATTGTGAGCCTGTTAGCATTTAGCTCAAAGCACCACTGTACCTAAGCACAGTCACACAGATTCGCTAGCATGGCTGTAAAATGTGACAAATTAGTACCTTGGTATTGTCAATCAAATGCCATCTTGACAGCAGTATTGCCCCTTCTAGTTCCCCAAAAATAAGACAATGTTTCTTATCAAATCCACTGCTTCTTGTTGAATAAATGTTATGTTCTTAGCAAAGTTAATAAAGACTTTCAGCTGTCTTGGTTGTAGTGTTACTGTACTTTTACAAAAATGTATCAAAATAACTACTGCAACAATTTATTGGAGTTAAAATATATTTACCCATTACTCTCTGGTCCAGATCTCCCCAGTTCTAAAAGACTTCCTGGACCGTATGCTGACTCGGGACCCTCTAGAGCGGGCCAGCGCCACTGACCTGCTGGAGCACCCCTTCCTGCTGCAGAGCGGTTCACCTCAGTGCCTGGTCCCGCTGGTGGAGCAGTACCGCAAGCGCATGTCCCGTTGCTGACCCTGTGGGGGATCCCTCTCACCAATGCCCACCTTAAATCTGTCCTGATCTGGCCTCGGACGAGGACCAGCACCGGGTTACAACTCCTCTTGCACTCAAGCCAATGGGCGATCAGCTCTAGAGAAACAGACCCAGAGAGCATGTTGCTGCCAGAGTGATGGTGGCAGGACGGCAAGTTTGGTTGAAAGACACCGCATGGTCTCGGGCATGACAGAAGCACTTTAGGAGTGAGTTAAAGGCAGCATGCAATCCCTCACCTCTCAACTCGGTTCGAATCCGAATATTGATTGGCTTCCTTTAACATTCAGTGGGATTCAACACAAGATGGTGCATATCAACTAATCGATATTCCACGTAACTATATGTAATGAACACGTGCTACTCTAAAGATCCTTTATAGTGTTTATAGTGGGCATTATTGCTAGCCGTGTAAAGCTTATAAAGCTGGTGTTAGGCTCAAACCACAGTAGCTCATTGTGACATTGTTAGGGAAGGATAAAGTTACCTCTGCACACTCACACACTCTGTTGTGGAAACTCAGTCAGTACACTCCACAAATACTGACAGTAGACTCTTTGCATGGCCAAATGGAGGCACACCTGGCCTGATGCGAATATGCTTGAATATGTACCAAACTGGGATGTGAAAGACATTTCTCTTTTATTAGCATAATAAATGGGTAGATGAAAGCCCAGCTGCTACTATTGGGCTATTGGAAAATCACCAGTACCATATTCCTCTTTTTCACATTTATTATTTATTTCCAAAAGGTATTGTGGATTGTTTGTATGATGTGAAGTTGCAAATATGGTTTCATTATTAAGTATGGACTAAGCAGAAACATGAATAATGTAAATACAAATACTGGATATTAGGTCATTACACCTGCTGCAGTAAATTATATGAGATGAATTCAAAATTTTACTTTTCTTTACTGAAATGTGAGTGTATAATTGTATGTGTGCATGTGTGTGTGTGTGTGTGTGTGTGTGTGTGTGTGTGAGCACATGGGTACATGGATGTGTGTGAGGCAACATCTCACTGTTTCCTTCTGATACAGCCCTCTTTGTACTGTGACAGACTTTTTAAAAACCACCAGATGTGTGTGTGTTGCTCCTCAACAAGATGTATATGACTGCATTTGTTTGCCTAGATAAAGCACACAGGCCTGGCATGTGATGCTGCAGGACGTCCACCTGCTCAGAAACACTTTGCACATAGTCTTTGTATTCTGACACGGATACATGTTGACATGTTTCATGTATTTCTATCTCTGTGTGGATCATTCATGGAAAAGAGAATTACACATTTTAATTTTGTATAAATCAATAAATGATGCATATTGAATCAGAATTCATCCCTCATTTTCCTCATTCACACACATGTAGATATTAATGAATACTGGTGTTTTAAAGTGTTTATTAGGTATTCAGTATGGATCATACAGTGCACAGTCACTGAATATCGTTAAGCAAAATACGTACAATATTTCTTATAAACACAGAAGCAATATCAAATCCATTAAATTCCATACAATATAAATCTTATATATGTCAAACAAAAATAATTATTTTCAGTAGCTCACAGATGGATATTGTGTTAATTTATAAATTATTTCAAATATACAATAGCAAAATTGTATGCAACTGAACAATAAGCTTTTAAACCTCTTTAAATCTCGTTTTTTATTGATAAACATTGAAAAAACTAATGAACTGCAACAAAAGCAAAATATTATTATTTCTCTCAATAAATAGATAATATCATCAAACAATCAAACTGCATTGTCAGAATTTTTACCAGCCATTTCTGTTGCTTCATAATGTCCTTATTCTAATCAAGGGCGGACTGAGAAGAGCAGCTTTCAAACTCGCACTTCACTCCACTGATGCTGTCAACGCTTGGCTGGCTGTTTACCTGCTGATGTGTGTGAGAGAGAGGGAAGGTTTCGGAGCGGGACATGCGCCCTCGGCCATTAGAGGAGCCAGACGAACAGTCTGTCACCATTCTCATGAACTCTGGTGCGGTGAATCTACGCAGCAGTCTGTTGCCCAGGCCCATGAACCCCGGCATACGGCTTGGGATCTTCCCCGTCTCGATCTCCCCTCTGGAAGACAGCAGTTTGTTGTGTCTGCTGGTCGGGCCAAAGCTTCCCCTCTTCTGCTGCTCTCTTTTACTTGATGGAACTATGTCATTAGCCTCTTCTGATTTGAGATTCTCCTCGACTGCTCTCACGGGCTGACTTTTGCTGTTTAAAAGAGGTTTTGGCACTGAGAGAGTTTTGTTAGCATCGTTTGTCAGGCCCCGGGTGTTCCTTTGACATTCCATCTTGTCTATAAGGCATCTCTCATCCTGTAGCGAGGCTCTCTTTAATTTGCTGGCTGACAGGCTCATGTCACGCACATCACCCTGATAGGACTGCTTTCTATTGCTCAGAAGGTCCAGGTTAAACGACTTCGCTTTTCCCCAGAGAGGAAAACTAACTGGTGTAGGCTCTTGGAGTCCAGTGTTTCTGACATCTTTCTGGCTTGGCTGAGGCAGAGAGTTCAGTGTTTTAGCCCCTCTCGGGTCTCTAAGCTGGCAATTTTGCAGTTGTTTGGCTGTGAAGAGAACGCTGTGATCCCCTTCAAACTGGCTTTTCTCTCGCTGAGGAGGCAGAGCCCAGTTGTGGCGATGGTTCTCCTCTTGAGACTGGCTCCTGGGACATCTGAAGCGGTTCCACAGCCCACTACTGTCACCAACCTTCAGCTGTTTCTGAAATACCCCAGGCAGTTGGTCTTCATTGCTATTCAACTGCTTGGAGAACGTCTCCAGAACATGCCTGGGGAGCCTGTTGGGCAGCCGACACTCTCCTTCACCACTGGTACCCGAATCAGCAAGTGGATCATCTGTGCCAACACCCCTCCTGCAAGGAAAGTTCAGAATCTGCACGCACTGGTTATGTCCGAAGAAGTTGGCCACCTCGATGGCTGAGTGACCAGCATTATTTGTTCTGTCCAGCCTCAGTCCCAATCTTTTGAAAGCCCGGACCAGAAACTCCAGAACCTGGCTATGCCCAGAAAAGGCAGCATACATCAGAGCACTGTTACCCCAGGCGTCAAAGATGTCGGGGTCAGCATTGAATTGCACAAGAAGCTTGACCACGTCCAGGTGACCCAACTCACAGACAAGGCTCAGGGCTGTGCGACCGTCCTCATCCTGGCAGTTGACATCTGCCCCTTTCTCCAGCAGCAGCCGGGTGAACTTGGCCCTGGTCCCGGGGTCTTGTAGGCAGACAGCATACATGAGCGGAGTGCGGCTGTTTTCTGTCTTAGAGTTGATGATGCGTCCATCCAAGGCATCCAGGATGAAGCGTGCGAGGTGAACTTTACCGCCGTGCATGGCATCTAGGAAGGTCTTGGTGCCAGAACCCTGGCGTAAATCTTTCGGTCGCATCATTCTTGAACAGCTACTTGTGGAGCTGAGCCGTCAAGTGAGCCAAGAAAGAAGGTGACAAATAGGGAGAGAAAGTGTGTAGCAAGTTCTCTGAGGCTCTCCGTGTTGACAGTGAATGCATTTACTTCAGAGTAAGACTCAGAGAGGAGCTGCCAGTGCTTTTATACCTCCCTCTTCACATGCCCTCCCCACGTTGCCAAGGAAACAAACGTCTGAGGACCATTATGCAGTGGCAGCATCCATTCAGCCCAAGCACTATCTGCCTGGAGAGAAATATATGCTATTTGAACAGAATAATTACTCAAGGAGAAAAAACATGGCCAATGTTTTTCATGTGAGGTCTGTGAGGTTAACCATTTTTACTTTTCTTTGATGCAAATTAACTTCATTAACAAATTCCTGCTGCTGATAGAATAGTCAAATATAGAAGGACAATCCGGCATTTTGTGAAATTTATGAATAGTACATTATGTTGAGTCCATTTATATTCAAGACTGTTAACAGGACTCTCAACAAAGGTTTGAGGGAAGATTGAAATTAAGCTTTGAGAGTTTGCCTCAAAGGACAGGAGGGAAAATTAACAGCTTGTTTTCTGCCTTACATGTGTTTTAAATGCTGCATCCACCTATCCTCTGCTCTTAGTTTACTCAAATCAACAAATTCAAATTATGCTACTCTGCTGTGCCTTGACTTTCTCAAAGTTTCATAATAATGAGTTTGCCTGAAGGTCTTTTTTTTGTCATGGTAAATAGAAAATCCCTTGAGAAGGGCTTTAAGAGCCATGTTTAATTATCTTATTAAATTAAAAAAACACTAAACAGTACCCAGCTGATGTGTTCAGACTGATCTTTGTCAAACAATCCAGCCGTTGCAGTGACATGGATCCCTTTAATCCCTTAGATTTACGAACAAGACCGCTGTTTGTATGAGGATATCAGCATGATTATTATCTATTGCTTTAGGAAGTAAGAATAAAAATAAATGCTCTTGTGATTATAGACCTCCTCTAAATATAACTGTTCACAGCATAAACTATAATATTGTTGTAGTAAGGGAGTATGTCTATCGTGAGCCTTGTTAAGCACACAGGTAATACTGCTCTATTGCATTTCTTCATTACTTAAATAATTCATTATTTTGTTTAACTGTCTCCAATTTCCTTACAACCTTCAAGTTTGTTTTTAATATTTACTCAGTTTATTACTTTCAACATCAAAAGCACCAAATTTAAAAACTTCTCTCTTGTATCTTTTGTCAAAGCTTGTGTTAAAAAAAATGACAAGGACCCTTTACGCAGCTGTTTCTCCTCCACAAGACCAGAATTTAATTTCAATTGCTAATATAAATCTCAGCAGGACCCAAAACTGTGCCAAACAGTGGAGGTGAGAGAAACATCGTCGGGGTTCTGTCTTCCTCACCGTTAAGCATCCGGCTTCATCAAAACCTCAGCGGGGCCTTTATACAGCACCGAGAGCCATTCAAGCATCTAAACATGGCTGAAATTCATCAACAGACCAATACTTCCTCCTGGGCCAGAGTCTGGATCCGCACGTGTTATAATGCTCTGCCTTCTATACTATTAATAGAAAGGAAGTTGAAACTCAATACAAATAATAAAATGGTAAAACTGAATTACTGATAGGAGCAGGCCTGTGAGATGAATGGAACATAAACCTCTGTATATGATTAAATAAGACAGCCATGTCTACAGCCATGCTAGCAGCTCTGTGACGCTTCATCATCATCATCTTCATTTTTATTTGTCACAAACACAAGCTGGAAAAATGACATTTTGACATGACGATGGCAGTAGATGAAAAGTAAAGGGACCAAAATATATGTACCAGATTTCATGGTAATCCATCAAATAAAGCCTCAAATGTGAACCTCATGATGGCGGTCAAAGGAAAATCAGGCTTTACCAAACTCATTAGGATTCATCCTCCAGTGACCACGAATATTTGTGAAAACTTTCTTGGCATTTAATAGAGATATTTCAGTCTGGATCAAAGTGGTAGACTGACATTCAGACCAACATTGCCATCCACAGAGCCATGAAAATCTCAAGAAATATCTGTCAAATATGTCCATGTATATAAATATGTACACTTTACTGGGATACAACGGATTGGTTGTTGGACCTTAAAGAATGCATCTCACAAGTTAGGCAACATTCTTAGTCCATTACTACACAGTATATTGCACTACAGTGTAGTCTTTTTCTGTAGCAATTCCTCCCATTCCCCCTCATCCCAAAGGTGTTCACCTGGGTTGAAATGTGGAGTAAAATCTGTCACAGTAAACTGAACTCACTGCCATGTTCCTGGAACTACCTGGCAGTGATGAGCTCATAGTGCATTATACTGCTGGAAGTACACATTTGAAAAATAATAGACTGTGACCATGAGAATGTAGATGCTTCTGTCCAGAAATAATATTTATTTATGCTCAGCTAAAACCACACTACCAGCTTTAGGCTACCTGTGGCATTTAGATGGATCCCTGGATTCATACTGATAATGTCAGATTCTAAACCTAATACTGCCAGCACATCATGACAGAAATTAAGAATAGTTGGACTAGGTGGTTTTTCTAGATTGCAGTTCTCTAGTTTTGGTGATCATGCTCTAGATTTAGTCTGGTCTTTTATCAAATTTGTAGCTGAAGAGATCCCAGTATGGTCTTCTGCCATTATAACCCATCCACTTCAAGATTTTCTGTGTGTTCAGAGATGCTATTCAGAACACTACTGTGCTGTTCATTACATATTTTGTATGTCATCCTGATAGCTTGACTGAGTCTGGCCATCCTACTCTGATCTCTCACTGACAGACAAGTCTCTTTCTCTATACCATGTGCCTTGCCATTTTAATGTTTAATGTAGCAACAATTCTAGCTCTTGATTGTTTCATATACAC